TGCAGGAATTTGGTCTAAAATCTAGAATCCCACAAAAAAAAGCTGCTATTCAAATAGCAAATTCTTCATAAAAGTTATTGCATTAGATTCTTGATTAAATTATCTTTCCATTGATATATAATTTTATGGTGCTACTCCAAAAAAAATCAAACAAATAAACACTGGTGTTATTAGCCATCAAACCTCAAAAATACTGTACTTTCCCCAAAAGGTTTCCACAATTTTGGCCACTACTGTATGTTGAATAATGTCTGCCTATGTCTCTCCCTTTCAACTACAGCAGCTCTTCTTGACTGGATTAAATCTTATGCATTCATATATACCATAGACATCCCACACAGCTGGGGAAAAAAAATTAATGCAACCTTCTACTACTGTCCTATTTCTTGAAACTATACACAGCTAAGAGGCAATTCTAAGATTCTAGTTAAAACGATTTTAATAGATGAGAGAGTGTTTCCTTTTCCTGAATTGTATCGAGGCACTTGAATTTAGGCAGGAACTTTTGCATATCTCTCCAACCACAGAGATTCAAGATCTCTTGAAAAAAAAAAAATTAGATTCAGAACTTACCACAGGTTGGTATATTGGAAACATTTCACCAACAAGAGCCATGCCTATCATGATTCCAATAAACCCCCAAAAATATCTCTTCATGATATGCCAGGAAACTTGAGTTGGGGACGTATCAACCCGTGACCGTACAAACAAATCGAAGCTCTGGTGCAACTGATTAAAAAAGATAAGAGACAGGATTAAACATTGTGGTAATATACTGATCTCTCTCTCTCTCTCTCTCTCTCTTCCTCTCTCTTTCTATGTATAAAAAGGCTGCATGTATCTATGTTCCAGCATAACTCTGGAACGCCTCCAGCAATTTCAACCAAACTTGGTAGACAGATGACGTGTGTGTTCCAGCATAATTCTGGAATGCATGGGCCGTTAAAGAGGGAGAGTGTGGCATCCTAGAGCGGCAATTGTTTGCAATGTGATGGGAGGGGGAAGGGAGAACCTGGGCCATTAAGGAGAGTGAGTGCAGCATCCTAAAGCAGCAATTGTTTGTGATGTCAGTTCCTTCGCAGCTTCTTCTGGAAAGCCAACTGTGACATTCACCCTCCAGTGGACCAATGGGGAAGCACCTGATGGATTTGGGGCAAAGAGCCAGGATTGTAAACAGGGAGGGAAAGAGGAGTGCATGGGAGGGGGAAGGGAGAGGGCAGAGATGACGGGCATGGGAGTAGGGGGAAGAAAGGCCCCTTTCAATGGTCCCCCGTCAGACGAAAGCTTCGGGGCAAAGTGCCAGGATCGTAGACAGGGCGGAAAAAGAGGAGCTCATGGGAGGGGGAAGCAAGAGGGCAGGGATGATGGGCATGGGAGTAGGGGGAAGAAAGGTTCCTCTCAATGGCTTCCCGTCAGACAAATGCTTCGACTATAAATACCGGGGCAACGCTGGGTTATCCGCTAGTTGTTAAAAATAAAAGATGTCCACAAAGTTGCTGCTGAAAATATTATTAATCAGTAGTTCTCAATAGAAAAACCCAGTCACCCCTTTCACTTATAAAACTTATCTCTGAATTCTGAAAACTCTGAACACGAAGCAAAGATCTAAAGTTGGCTTCAATGAATGAAATAAAACAGGCGCAGAGTCTCCTTGACCTACGGTCAGTTGCTTAATGGCTTAATGGCCATTCAAACTTCCAGTGGACCAACTTGGGAGATATTTACGACCTGGATTCATAGTTCCGATGGTCACCCACCCCCCCAAGTCATGTGAACACACTTGAGGTGCTAGGCAACTAGGCCTAATTTATGGCATCATCCCACAATCACATGGCCGCGTTTTATGACAGTTTTGTTGAAAACTGGCATTCGCTGTTTTTGCCAAAAGCAAACCATCACATGATTGACCCACTTTATAACCATCATAGGCAGGCTCCATTACGGTTGTAATTCGAGAACTAGGTGTAAGCTGAAATGCTGTTTCACAACATATTTGTTAAAGACTCTTCATTTTTCCAAAGTATACTAGAATAGCATATTGAAGCCATCACTTTATATTGCTTCTGAGGCAAAATGTGACAGGCCAATAGCTGGCCAATAAAGAACTTTTGGTCAAGTTTAACAAGGACACAGTGGTATTTTATTCCTTTCCAGGACACAAAAATAATGTCAACACCAGAATCAGAGTAGGGATTTCAGTGCTGATCTAAAGTATATCGGGGAAAGAGAGAGAGAGAGAATATGCTTGAGTATTGGACTCATGGAAGGATCGAACTTTTTACCAAATATATTATTGCACTTAAGATATTCCATTACTAATGACTTTAATGTGGGATTCTGGATTACAAACTGAATTGGTAGGTAGATCTCAAATTAATTCTTTATCTTACCGGTTCTCCAAAATTACGCCTCAGTTCAGGGTAATCCCACTGATACCATGGATCTCTTTCCTGTGCGGATTGATCTGGGAGTTTGGGATAGTCACCATAACTATGAAAATATGAGAACAGAGCTTTCTATGGACCCAAGTTATTTCTAAATCTTTTCAGTGCTTTGATAAAAAAACAACAATACAATTTACTAGTGATTTAAAACAAGAAAATTTAATAATCTGTCTGCCAAACTTAAAAACTGGACAAGAGGGCTGAACCTTGGAATGATAGTAGTATTACACTACCATATTCCTTTATCTCTTGCAGGTTGAATTGTGCATTTTTAAGTATGGGGATCGGACCACAAACATATTGTCTATCCATATTATAGACAAATTAACTGCTGGATAAATTCTGTGCTCAAAAATTGAGGAGAAATTAATTAATATAACCAACCAACATTTGAATATCTTACACATTTATCTTCAAAAAGCATTCCTGCAAGGGATATCTCCACTATCAAACATTGCTTTCCCCTTTCCTCCCTTGGCTGCAAATTCAACATGTTATAGTCTTGTTCCAACGTTATAAGAAATACAACAAGGCAAAAAGATATTGGAAAATGATACAATCATGGTTGGAACAGATGGTGGGAGATCAAAGTTTGTTCAAACCAGAACTTTTTCTCCTAGGCATAATACCGGAGGGGTATAGGAAAGATGTGCTCTATCTAATTATACATGTATTAACTGTGGCGTGTATAACTTATGCACAGTATTGGAAAAAGAAAATATCCCATCANATATAGAATATTCTGTTTAAAATGTAGGAATAACAATTGGAGTTGAATTATTGATGCAAAATGATGTTGTATGTACGGATTCAATATTTAGAACACCTTGTTTAAAATTAAGGAATAATAATGATAGTTGAAAAATTGACACATAACATTAATGTATCTATGTTTACCAAATGAACAATTTGTGACTCGATATATAATTGCAAGCGGTGACCATGGAAAGGACGCACAAAATCTTGTAACCAAATGACACGCTATATGAAATGGAAGAAGGATGTACGTTTTTTACGTTTTTGTTTGTTTAAATTTTTTTTTAAAAAAAAGACTTGTGGCCTTCAACTCCCAGAATTCCTCAGCCAACAAAGCTGGGAGTTGAAGTCCAACAGGTCTTAAAGCAGCCAAGGTTGGAGACCCCTGCACTAGGATATGATCCGTGTCCAGATGAGATCACTGTGAAAAGGATCTAATTCAATGGTTCTCAACTTTGGCAAGTTTTAAGATGTCTAGAGCTCAGTTTTCCAGGATTCCCTAGCCAGCCTTCCTCAAACCTTCCTGTACAAGTCTCCTGCGTGAGCAGAGGGTTGGACTAGATGACCTTCAAGGTCCCTTCCAACTCTATTACTGTTCAATGTTAAAGAAGAGACTTTGACTTCAAGGAAGGCCTCTTTCAGCTCCTTTTTCGTGGAAACCTACCCCGGAGGGTATTTACATTCGCGCTGACATATGTCTGTGTAATGCCTAATCAGTTCTCAAGGGGGCATTGAGGACCCTCGGGTCCCGATTCCTAGAGTGGGAAGTTCCGGTCCGCCAAGCCATTGTACCGGATGCGCGTTGCGCCAGCTTCCGGGCGCTGCGGCCTCGGCGGCGGCGCTACATCCGGTAGCGATGGAGGAGGAGGCCTCCGGGTCTCGCTCCGAAGCCGCCCAGGCGCCCCGGTCTCCGTCAGGGGTGGCCGAGGAGGAGGAGGAGGTATCCCCCCGTGAGTGGAGCGAGGCGCAATTCCGGCACTACGGCTTCGCCACGCGGCCCATCGCCCGCCTGCGCCACGGAGACCCCCGCGCCGAGGAACTGCTGGAGAAGGAGGTGAGGGCGGCCTCTGCCGCCTCCGCTCTCTCTCTCCCGGGCTTTGGGGAGGGAGAGGGGATTGCTCCTCCCTCTCCTCCCTCCCTTCCTTCCTTCATTTCTTTCCCTTCCTTCTTCCTTCCTTCTCTTCTTTTTTTCCTTCCCTTTCCCTTCCCTCCCTCCCTTCATTCCTTTCCTTCTTTCCCTCCCTTCCGTCACTCCCTCCCTTCCATTCCTTTCCTTCCCTTTCTTCCTTCCCTATTGCTTCCTTCTTCCTTCCTTTCATCCTTCCCTCCCTTTCTTCGTTTCTTCCCTTCCTTCCTTTCCTATTTCTTCTTTCCCTTCCTTCCCCTTCCCTCCCTCCCTTCTTCCTTTCCTTCCATTCCTAACTTGCTTCTTTCCCTTCCCCTCCCCTCTTCCTTTCCTCCCTTCCCTTCTTTCCCTATCTTTCTTCTTTCTCTTCCTTCCCCTCCCCCTTCTTCCTTTCCTTCCTTTCCTATCTTCTTTATCTTCCTTCCCCTGCCCTCCCTCCCTCACTTCTTCCTTTCCTTTCCTCCCTCCCTTCTTTCCCTCCCTTCCTTCCCTTCTTTCCCTCCCTTGCTTCCCTTCCTCCCTCCCTCCATTCCTTTTTGTCTGTCCATCCGTGACCTCCACTCTGTGTTTGCTTCCAGGAGCCGGTGGTGCTCACTGACACCAACCTGGTTTTTCCTGCCTTGAAATGGGATCTGGATTACCTTCATGACAACATTGGGAGTGGGGACTTCTCGGTGTACCGAGCCAGCACCCACAAATTCCTGTACTACGATGAGAAGAAGATGGCAAATGTGAAAAACTTCAAACCAAAGTCCAGCAGGGAGGAGATGAAGTTCAGGGATTTCATGGCACAACTCCAGGAAATCGAGCAGCAGGGAAGCGGAGAAAGGTAATAACAACACCTGGTGGACCCTTTATAGTCGGAGGAATTAAGGGGCTAAGGTGGGAGTTGCTTTGGGCTATAAATGATCTGCCAGGTTTTTGCATGGCACAGTGCAGTAGCTCCTTTGAGTCCTCCAGGGGCCTGTTGTAAAGCAGAAGGACCTTAAGCTCCGTGTTCTGCATTTGGAACCTTTTGGAAATTGAAGAAGTAACATGGGTACCCTTCTTGATTCATTGGGGAGCAAAGCCAGCAGAAGTTCCAAAATCTTTTAATAAGGAAAATAGGCCTAGCTTGGAATTTGAAACAACAGGCTGTTATAGAGATCTAATGAGATGAAGGAGTTAAACATGATAGTATTTTTCAGGCATAACTGAAATATTGGAGAAGGGAACAATTTTGAAATATTAAATTTAATTTTTGAGAAAGTCCTTCACAAAATGAACCTTGAATCTGGGGCAGTTCATAAAGAACATTGGTTCCATTGAGGGCAATGGTTCATATACATTGAGAAGGAATATTTTGTGCTACTTAACATCTTATTTCATTGAACAGAGAGCTTGTTTAACAGAGGGAAAAAAGTGTATAATTCATAGCATCAGAGTATGCATCATATTTTTCTTTCATATCTGTGCTTTGTGATGCATGGCTATTTTGCCTCTTTGTAATCTGTCTATCCTAAAAGAAAGTTAATCTACATGCAGTGGATGGAATTGGAGTAGTTTGTTTACTTCCTGGATGTTATGTCTACAAGCATACTCCAACTAATATTTTATCTTATTATATTATTAAATATTAATATTAATATATACATTATATATTAAAATATATTTAAGGACAGATATGTAACTGTAATGTGGCCCCTAGATTGTTTTATCCTCTTGTGAATGTTTTTTTCCAAAAAAGGACAGTGGTGTGTCTACACAACAATCTGATATAGTGTAGGCCATATAGTATACCCAACATGCTAAGTCATCATCCACGCACACACACCCCTTTTCCTCCCAGTTCTAACACAAATAAACACCAATTTTAGATTTAGATTTTATTGAACATTTATATGCCGCCCTTTTCCCTGAGGGGACTCAGGGCGGCTTACAACAATGGGGGGAAGGGAGTGCAAGACAAGACTTAAAAGAAAATAAACGTGAATAAAAGAAATTAACCATAAAAACACTCAACATTCGGGCGGGGTGAGAATAATCCTATCCCCAGGCCTGACGGGATAGCCAGATCTTGAGGGCTGTGCGGA